TGGGGGCCTTCGGACGGCGGGGAACCCAGGGGAGGGGAGAGGGATGGGATTGGGGCTTCGGGACGGCGGGGACCCAGGGAGGGGAGGAGAGGGATGGGGGCCTCGACGGCGGGGACCCAGGGAGGGGAGGAGGTGGATGGGGCCTTCGGACGCGGGGACCCAGGGGAGGGAAGAGATGGGATGGGCCTTCGGACGGCCGGGGACCAGGGGAGGAGGAGGATGCGGATGGGGCCTTCGGACCGGGACCCAGGCGGAGGGAGACGAGGATTGGGGATGGGGCCTTAGGATGGCGGACCAGGGGGGGGGAGAGGATGGATGGGCTCGGACGGCGGGGACCCAGGGGAGAGAGGATGGTGGGCCTTAGGATGGCGGACCAGGAGGAGGAGGAAGAGGATGGGATGGGCCTAGGACGGCGGGGACCCAGGGGGACGGGAGGATGGATGGTGGGCCTTAGGATGGCGGGAGACCAGGGGAGGGAGGATGAGGATGGCCTTAGATGGGGGGACCAGGAGGAGGGAGGATGGGGATGGGCCTATCGACGCGGGGGACAGGGGAGGGAGAGGTGATGGGGAGGGGGGCCTTCGACGGCGGGACCCAGGGAGGGGCAGCGGATGGGGATGGGGCCTTCGGACACGGCGGGACCCAGGGGAGGGGACAGGAATGGGATGGGGCCTTCGGACGGCGGGACCCAGGGGAGGGACAGGAGATTTGGATGGGCCTTAGGATGCGGGGACCCAGAGAGGGGAGAGGATGGGGATGGGGCCTTCGGACGGCGGAGGGCGCCCAGGGAGGGAGAGGATGGGATGGGGCTTAGATAGGATGGGGGGGACCAGGGGAGGGGAAGAGGAATGGAGGATGGGGGCCTTCGGACGCGGGGACCCGAGGGGAGGGACAGGATGGGATGGGGCCTTCGGACGGCGGGGACCAGGGGGGGACCTTCGAACGTCCTTGGGAGGGAGGGGAGGGACGCGAGGATGGGAGGGGAGGACGGTGGGGGAGGGGCCTTCTTGACGTGGGAGGGGGAGGGGCCTCCTGACGGTGGAGGGAGGGGCCTTCGGACGGTGGGAGGGGGAGGGGCCTTCGGACTGAGCGTGAGGTGGAAGTCGGGGCCCGCCGCGTCGATGGGCCTCCGGGCCACCTAACTGCCCGGCTCCCAAGGTGCCTGCCACCCGACTCCGCTGGAGAGGAACTTTTCCGTCGGTGCTGGATTTAATCACCACCCATTCCCGGGTCACCTTTCCTTTAAGCGAGGCCGGTGTGGCCAAGGCTGCAAGGAGCCGGGCTGCGATTGGCCAGTCCGTGCCTCGGGCGGCGGCACGATTGGCTGGAGCTCCGGGCCTCGGGCAGCATGCGCCCGCGGGATTGGCCGCGGCTCTCCCGAGCCCGCACTGTCCAGCAGCCTCGGTCGGGCGAGGGAGGGGCCGCCGGGACCGCGGGCCTGGCGCGCCGAGGAACATGGCGGCGGCGAGCCTCGCTCAGATTCCTGATGTAGACATCGACTCCGATGGCGTCTTCAAGTACGTGCTAATTCGGGTCCACTCGGCGCCGCCCTCGGTTCCCGGCTGCGGAAAGCAAGATCTCGTCTCGGGGGGCGGGCCCTTCCTGCCAGGGGGCGGGATCTGCCTGCCAGGGGCGGGCGGGGGCGGGCCCTTCCTGCCAGGGGGCGGGATCTGCCTGCCAGGGGCAGACGGGGGCGGGGCCTTCCTGCCAGGGGGCAGGATCTACCTGCCAGGAGCGGATAGGGCGGGGCCTGCTTGCCAGTGGGTGGGGCGGGATCTGCCTGCCAAGAGCTAACGGGGGCGGGGCCTCCCTGCCAGTGGGTGGAGCGGGATCTGCCTGCCAGGGGTGGGCAGGGCGGGGGCGGGGCCTGCCTGCCATGGGGTGGGGTGGGGCTGCCTGCCAGGGGCAAGCAGGGGCGGGCCTGCTTGCCAGGGTTGGGGGCGGACGCAGGGCCGAGGGCACAGCGGCCGTGTCCTGTGCCCAAGTGCGCCCAAAGGTCTGGTCCGGCTGGCCTGAAGAAGTCGAGGTCCTGGTGGGAGGGTCGTACCCCCACCCGACCACTCTCTCCCAGTCCCAGTCCCTGCACCAGCACAGCGCGTCCTTCTCCCCTTTATCCCAGCCCCAGCCTGGGGCCTTTGTCTCCGCTGGGGAAGGGGCTGCCCAGAGCTGGGCTGGTAGACAGATGGGAGTCCCTAGGCCTCGTAGGGGTGGCCAGGGCACGTCCTGAGGCTGCTTTCCCCACCCCAGCGGACATCTACGACAAAGTGTCCGGCGAGATACAGAAGCAGGGCTATGACTGTGAGTGCCTGGGCGGCGGGCGCATCTCCCACCAGAGCCAGGACAAGAAGATCCACGTGTACGGATACTCCATGGTGAGCCTGCAGCCCCTGCCAGGCCTGGCTGGAGGCGCCAGTCCAGAGTCTGGGCAGCCGAACCCTCCCTCAAGGGCCTTATGGTATCCCACATACCGCGTACCACCAGGGGTAGGAAGCACATGCCAGACCTCTGAGGCGAGGGGGAGGCCCCCAGACACAGCAGCCAAGTCCTCTGCCCACCCCAGAGGCCTGGCCAGGCTCTCCTGTCCTCAGGGAGCTTCAGAGTCCACGCTGTGTCTTCACACAAGCCACCAGCAGATACACACTGGCCCTCACACAGCCCCCACCTTTGGTCTGCTCACCTGTGCGGGCCACCTCTCCCCAGGAGAGCTCCCCAGGGTGATCAGGGCAGTGGGTTTGGCTCCGCCCTGGGGCACCCAGGCTCTGCCTGTCCCCTCCCACAGCTGCTCTTGGTGTCATTGCTGACCATTGATGCCCAGTGCCAGGGCAGAGGGCGAAGGGCCAAGTGATGCTAGTGACCATCTTCTCTCTCCAGGGCTACGGCCGTGCCCAGCACTCCGTCTCGACTGAGAAGATCAAAGCCAAGTACCCTGACTATGAGGTCACCTGGGCCGATGATGGCTACTGAGGACCCCCCGCCTGAGGCCTGCCTCCTCCAGCAGCCAAGTCGGAACTCTGCCCTTGCCAGGTCCTCCCCGAGGGGCTGGCCTTGCCCTTTTCTTCTGCACCCTCTGGTGATGTGCCACCCTGCCAGGCCTCTGAGACCGACCAGCCTGGCCCATGGGAATTAAAAACATTGCTGTGCCTGCTAGTCTTCAGACTCTGTGTCTTGGCTTCCCTGTCCTGGGTCCCCACCTGGGCAGGGCTGTCCTACGCCCTGACTGAAGCAGGTGGGTGGGAGAGCCCGGGAGCAGCAGGGCCCCACCCCGTTCCACCCCAGAGGCCCCCAGGAATGGCAGTGCACACTCAGCCCTTTGGGGTCTGATAAAGGGGTCACTGCCCCATTTATGGCCTGATGGCCCCTGAGCTTGGCTGCTGTCCCCAGGGACATCTGGGTGGAGGCCCAACAAGCCCTTGCGCAAGGCGTCAGTGCCTGGTCCCTTGGGCTGGCCAAGGCCTGGGGCGCCCAGGAGTGCCCCCTTCCTTGAGCCCACCCCAGGGCTCCCTGCAGAGAGGGGCACCGGTGACCACTGTCCGGGCTGGGCTGTGCATAGGGTGTGGGCTCGGCCCCACATGGTGACCCTTGGACGGTGATGGTGGGGTGGGACACTGCGGGACAGCTGGGGGCTGAAGCACATTTGTTCTCGTGGGTGCCCATCACTGGCAGTTGTGCTGGCCTTTTTCAGCATGCTGGGTCCTCCAGGTGGCCACTCCTGGCAGGTGCTGTTGTGACCATGTCTACAGACCAAGAAACTAGGGCTCAGGTGAGACAAGCTCCTGAGGGCAAGTGGCAGCTCACAAGCAGAGCCTGGCTCCAAACGCCACACTCCTTGCAGCCTCAAAGTGCCCAACCCCAACTCTAGGTCTGTTCCGTGAAGACTGGAAATTTCTGGGTTCACAGGGACCCTGTGCCTGGCACCACTCAGCACCTGGCTGCCCAGGACAGGTGTAGGAGGGCGGATACATGAAGGGACAATATCCCCAGCCTGTGTGACAGCCAGGGCAGGCTCGCGGCCCCACCGGACTGCTGCTTGCCTCCGCTGGGATGAGTCGTGTCTCTGCCTCCTTGGCCAGCACCGGGCTGGGGCCAGAGGCACAGTGAGAGACGCCTTGGCGGCCCTGCACCCCCCTACACACCACTACACAGAGTCCCTCTCCTGGGGTGCCTGGGCCCCTCCTTGCTCCACTGGGAGCCTCCACCGGGCAGGGCATGGCAGGTGGGCACGACGGCCAGGGTCTGACCTTTAGTCTGCAGGAGCCAGGCAGGTGGGAGGTGACCCTGGGCCGGGGGCCCCCTCCTGGGGCACGTTTACAGCCAGGCATGCAGCACCATCAGCACTGGGTGGGGCTGGCCGAGGGGCCACAGGTTCGGGAGGGGCTAAAACCCTCCAGTTAAAGCAGAGTCAGCCTGTGGGGCCACTGCAGGCTGATAACTGGACAAAGTCCCCACAGGCTGCCAGCCTTGCAGCCCCTGGGCTCACTCCCTCAGGCCTGACCATGAGTCTGCCCGGCCACCTCCTGCCCAGCCTGGTCCTGCTTGTGGGTGAGTTGTCTGGCCCCGCTGCTGTGGCAGGATGGGGCTCTGGGTCCTGAGCCTGTTGTCTGGGTGGTGTTGAGAGATACTGGGGCTGATGCCTAAGCCCCCCAGGGAAGGAGGGGTGCAAGGTGCTGCCCTGACATGGGTTATAAGGGGACTCAGGATGAGCCATGTGGTCCTGGGGATGGCCTACCTAGGGAGGGGTCAAGAATTCTCTCCCAGGCCCAAGACAAGGGGACCAGCTCCCTGGGGCCTGTCTGCCACACTTGGACTGCGTGGAGTGGCAGAGGCCTGGGCCCCCCTTGGATACGTCCGTCTGGGGCACTGTCCTGGCAGCCCCTCTGGCTCCTGTTCCCTTCCCCAGGGCTGCCCACATCCTCCCGCCCGCATCCTGACATGCAGCCTCTGTGGGGTGGAACCTGGGGGTGCACCTGCTCTGTCCTGACACGGAGCCTGGATGGCGGCTCTCTGTGGGTGCCAACACCCTCCGAGTCCCATCTCCTGGGCCTGATTCCCAAAGTAGGTGCCGAGTGTCCTGGGTTGGACAGGAAACTTCCAGGGCTAAAACTGGACAGTCCTGGGCCAAGGGGGATGGCTGGTCACTTGCCTCCAGGCCACCTGGGTGTCGCTCTGCCAGCAGCAGGGTTCCCGGGCTGGGCCTGGGTCCCCAACCACTGCAGGAGCCCCGGCGAGGCCGTGTGCAACTTCGTGTGTGACTGCAGCGACTGCTCAGACGAGGCCCAGTGCGGTAAGCCGGGGCCACACGGGAGCGGACAGAGCCCGCGCTCAGGGCAGCACCCCTGACCACCTGCTCACCCAGGTCACCATGGGGCCTCGGCCGCTCTGGGCGCACCCTTCACCTGCGACTTTGAGCACGACCCCTGCGGCTGGCGGGACATCAGCACCTCAGGCTACAGCTGGCTCCGAGACAGGGCAGGGGCCGCCTTGGAGGGTCCAGGGCCTCGCTCAGACCACACGCTGGGCACCGACCTGGGTGAGGCTGGGGCAGGTCTCCACGTGCACCCGCTCCCCACCACCCCCTGCTTCCTGCCCCATCTCCTGACCTCTCCCCCGGGCCAGGCTGGTATTTGGCTGTCGGGACACACCAAGGGAAGGAGGCAGCCACCGCGGTCCTGCGTTCCCCCGTCCTGCACGAGGCTGCCCCCACCTGTGAGCTGAGGCTCTGGTACCACTTGGCCTCTGGAGGTGTGGCTGGGCCCCCCAGGACCCATGGGTGGGGTGCTGGGGGGAGGGAGTGGGCGGGCATGGCAGGGAGGGGCGGGGCTGCAGCTGCCCAGGGCCCCCCATGGCACAGATGCGGCTGAGCTGCGGCTGCAGCTGACTCACGGCGCAGAGACACTGACACTGTGGCGGAGCTCGGGACCCTGGGGGCCCGGCTGGCAGGAGCTGGCAGTAACCACCGGCCGCATAAGGGGCGACTTCCGAGTGAGCTGGGGATCTGGGTGGGCTAGGGAGGGGAGTGGGGTCTGGGCCCTGACACAGGTCCTAAGGCCCCCCACTCTCTTCAGGTGACCTTCTCTGCCACCCGGAATGCCACCCACAGGGGTGCTGTGGGCTTGGACGACCTGGAGTTCCGGGGCTGTGGGCTGCCCAGTAAGGCCCCGTGCCACCGACCCACCAGGAGGGCCATGGGCTCATGGGGCTCCCCTGCCCACCCTTGCCCAGTCCCACTGAGGCCTCGCCCCCAATGCCAGGGGTCTTAGGCCAGGCTGAAAGGCAAACCCTCCTGCACCCCAGGCCCCCAGGCCAGCTGCCCCCCGGGGCACCACCACTGCCAGAATAAGGCCTGCGTAGAGCCCCACCAGCTGTGCGATGGAGAAGACAATTGCGGGGACCTGTCTGATGAAGATTCACCCACCTGCGGTGAGACGGGGAGACCTGGCCTCTCGGCTATGGCTCATGCCATAGGGTGTACTGTACGTGGTCTTCCTGGCGTGGCAGCCACTGTCCCCCTGAGCTGGGCCATCAGCTGCGGAGGCCCTGCTGGGTGGCCTGAACAACCTCACCTGCCACCCTAGGCCACCACATGGCCACTGACTTTGAGACAGGCCTGGGCCCGTGGAACCACTCGGAGGGCTGGGCCCGGAACCACAGCGCTGGCAGCCCCGAGCACCCTGCTTGGCCGCGCCGAGACCACAGCTGGAACAGTGCAAAGGGTGAGACCAGGGAGGACTCGGCCCCGCCCACCCACCTGGCCACCACCCATCGGCCCTGGCCCACACCTGTCCTCTCCCCAGGCTACTTTCTGGTCTCCCTGGCTGAGCCCGGCACCCCCACTGTCCTCTCCAGCCCCAAGTTCCAGGCCTCCAGCCCCCACAACTGCTCGGTAAGACAGGTGGGGCACAGGTCTCCCACCCTGGCTGCCCAGTGCATGGCCCCCTGACCAGCAACTGTCCCTCCCCAGCTGGTCTTCTACCGCTACCTGCACGGGTCTGAGGCCAGCTGCCTGCAGCTGTTCCTGCAGACGCTGCAGCCCGGCGCCCCCCCAGCCCCTATCCTGCTGCGGAGACACTGCAGGGAGCTGGGGGCTGCCTGGGTCCGAGACCGGGTTGACATCCAGAGCGCCCACCCCTTCCAGGTGAGGCTGAGCAGGCGTCCTGGGGACAGGAGGAGGGTGGGGTCCAGGGAGCCCACAAAACACCAGCTGTGGGTGGACGGAAGAGGTTTTGGGACAGCAGGCCCCTGGGTTGGGGGGGACAGACGGGTGCTGGGGCACCCCCTGAACCCCCTCTGCCCTCAGATCCTCCTAGCTGGGCAGACAGGCCCAGGAGGCGTCGTGGCCCTGGATGACCTCATCCTGTCTGACCGCTGCAAACCCGTCCTGGGTGAGCCTGCTGGAGCCCCAGGCCCGTTCCGCCCAGAAAGCTCAGTTGCTGCTCCAGCTGACCCGGTTCTGCCCTGCAGAGCCAGCCGGCCTGCAGATGCTGCCTCCTGCACCCTGGGCCCCGGCCCCCGAGACCCCGCCATCCAGCCTGGTGCCCCAGAATTTCTGCGATCCAGGGCATCTCTCCTGTGGGGACCTGTGCGTGCCCCCGGAGCAGCTGTGCGACTTCCAGCAGCAATGTGCGGGGGCTGAGGACGAGCAGGACTGCGGTAAAGGGGCCACTGTGGGCCGGGTGGGGGGTGCTCGGGCGGGCTGGGGGGCTGGGGTCCTGGCTGCTGAGCGCCAGCTGCTGTTCCAGGAACCACAGACTTCGAGTCCCCCACGGCTGGGGGCTGGGAAGATGCCAGCATGGGGCGGCTCCAGTGGCAGCTCTTGGCCCAGGAGGCTGCTGGAGGTGAGGCCTAAGCCCGGGTCCCTGCCAAAGTAGCGGCATGCCTGGAGGGAGGGATCTGGGCTCTTCGGCTGTACTAGGGAGGCCTCTGGGTCCCTGAGGGACAGATGGTTGCCCTGGCCAGGAATGAGGGCTCTGAGCCCCTATACTACCCCCTAGGGCGCTTCCTGTCTCTGCAGAGGGCCTGGGGGCAGCTGAGGCCTGAGGCTCGGGTCCTCAGCCCCGCCCTGGGTCCCTCTGGTCCCAGCTGTGAACTGCACCTGGCCTACCACTTCCAGAGCCAGCCCCGAGGTACGGCCGCCTGGGCTCCCCACCCACCCCCTGGGGCTCCCTGACAAGGGAGGGTCCAAGGCTGGGTCACCCATGGTGACCCATGGTGACCGCCTGGCCAGGCTTCCTAGCGCTGGTCGTGGTGGACGGCAGCTCCCGGGAGCTTGTGTGGCAGGCCCCAGGCAGCAGCACCGGGGGCTGGAAGGTGGACAAGGCCCTCCTGGGGGCACGCCGCCGGCCATTCCGGGTAAGGAGGGCAGCACAGATGGGGGGGTCTGCTGGAGCCAGCCCTGACTTAACAGTCCTCTCCCTCCTTCCCCCCACACAGCTGGAGTTTGTGGGTCTGGTGGACTTGGATGGCCCTGGCCAGCAGGGGGCTGGGGTGGACAACGTGACTTTGAGGAACTGCAGTCCCACGGAGACCACCGAGAGAGACGGAGGTCCCTGCTGCCCCACTAGGGGGGCTACCGGACCACCTCGAGGGACCCTTTGAGCCTGCACTTGCTCGGGGCTTGGGAGGGCGGGGGTGGGCAGTGGGCTGGGCTTGCTGACACCCCTGTCCCCCCAGAGGTCTCCTGCAACTTTGAGCGGGACACATGCAGCTGGTACACGGGCCACCTCACAGACGCACACTGGCACCGGGTCCAGAGTCATGGCCCTGGGTACGACCACACCACTGGCCAAGGTAGAGTGGGGGCTCCAGGCCGAGGGCCACTCAGACCCAGGAGTGCTCGGGGACTCGGGGCGTCTCTGCAGTCGCCCCATGTCCCCTACAGGCCACTTCATGCTCCTGGACCCCACAGACCCCCCAGCTCGGGGCTATGGCGCCCACTTGCTCTGTAGGCCCCAGGTGCCGGCAGCCCCTGTAGAATGCCTCAGCTTCTGGTACCAACTCCACGGGCCCCAGATCGGTGAGTCGGGGGGCTGGGGCCTCCTGCCTGGTGCCCATCGAGGCCTGAGGAGGGTCAGGAGCTGGGGCTGGTCCCCTCAAACCCTGCCTCCCTTTAGGGACGCTGCGTCTGGCCATGAGACGGGAAGGGGAGGACATGCTCCTCTGGTCGAGGTCGGGCACCCACGGCAACCGCTGGCAGGAGGCCTGGGCCACCCTCCACCACCAGCCCAGCTCCCGCACCCGCTACCAGGTGAGGCCTGGAGCCCCGGGGGTGGGAACGTGGGGCAGGGCCCCTTGCCCGCTGACACCGTCTGCCCCCAGCTGCTGTTCGAGGGCCTCCGGGATGGATACCATGGTTCCATGGCCCTGGACGACGTGGCCGTGCGGCCTGGCCCCTGCTGGGCCCCCAAGCGCTGCTCCTTCGAGGACTCGGCCTGTGGCTTCTCCACTGGGGGCCAGGGCCTATGGAAGCGCCAGACCAACGCCTCGGGCCACGCCGCCTGGGGCCCCCGGACAGACCACACCACGGAAACGGCTCAAGGTACTGGGGCCCCACAGGGACGGGGCTGGGGGACCAGCCAGGGGCTGGCAGACTGACACTGGCACCCCCAGGACACTACATGGTGGTGGACTTGAGCCCGGACGCACTGCCCCAGGGCCACGTGGCCTCGCTGACCTCGGAGGAGTACAGGCCCCTGGCCCAGCCTGCCTGCCTGACCTTCTGGTACCACCTGAGCCTGCGCAGCCCAGGTGAGGTTGTCCACATTCCCGGGGCTCAGGGAGGCTCGGCCTGAGGTCCCCACGGGCCCCTTGCCCGGTGACAGGCTGGGGAGCCAAGGGGGATGGGGCTGAGGCCGTGTGGGCATTGCTGCCCCACTGCCGCTGACCTGGGTGGCCTCGGCACGCAGGCACCCTGCGGGTCCATGTGGAGGAGGGCGGGCGGCACCCAGTGCTCAGCATCAGTGCCCACGGAGGGGCTGCCTGGCGCCTGGGCAGCGTGGACGTGCAGGCCAGGCGGGCCTGGAGGGTGAGTGCCTGGGCCCTGGGGGCACCCCTTCCTTCTCACCCCCTGTAGGCCACCCAGACCAGGCTGAGAATGCCCTGCCTTGCCCCACCAGGTGGTGTTTGAGGCTGTGGCCGCAGGTGTGGAGCCCTCTTACATGGCCCTGGATGACCTTTTCCTCCAGGACGGGCCCTGCCCCAAGCCAGGTGGGAGCCCTGCTGGGGCCTTTGGGCTGCAGCAGATCTCGCCTTGGCCTGGCTCCCCCCGGCAGTGGTGCCCGGGGCTTGGGCAGCACCAGTCACCAGCAGGTTCCTTGCAGGTTCCTGTGACTTTGAGTCTGGCCTGTGTGGCTGGAGCCACCTGGCCTGGCCCGGCCTAGGCGGGTACAGCTGGGACTGGAGCGGCGGTGCTACACCTTCCCGCTACCCCCACCCCGCCGTGGACCACAGCCTGGGCACGGAGGCAGGTGCGCACTTACTGGATGGTGGGCCCCGAGGCCACCCACAGCCACTCTGCCTCCCACTGCCCACCCCGGGGCACTCGGACTTGGTGGGGCCCCCTTGGGGCAAGGGGCTGGGCTCACTCCGCCCACTGGGGACCCCACTTTCTTGTTTCCAGGCCACTTTGCCTTCTTTGAAACCGGTGTGCTGGGCCCGGGGGGCCAGGCGGCCTGGCTGCGCAGTGAGCCTCTGCCGGCCACCCAGGCTTCCTGCCTCCGCTTCTGGTACCACATGGGCTTCCCCGAGCACTTCTGTGAGTCCGGCTGGCTGGTGGGGGACTGGGCAGTGGGCGGAGCCCGGGTCTGGGGCAGCGCTTGGGGGTGGCCCCCTTGCACCTGGTCAGGCGTGCAGGTGCCTGCCAGGCACCTGTGACCTGACCCACCCGGCCCTGCTCTCAGACAAGGGGGAGCTGAGGGTGCTGCTGGTCAGCACCCAGGGCCAGCTGGCCGTGTGGAGCCAGGGTGGGCACCGGCGGCACCAGTGGCTAGAGGCCCAGGTCGAGGTGGCCAGTGCTGAGGAGTTCCAGGTGAGGCTGGCTGCCCTGGCCAAGGGACCTCAGGGCCGGCAGGGGGGGGGCCTCCGTCTCCCCTGGGTCCTCATGGCCTTTCCTTCCTGCAGGTTGTGTTTGAGGCCACTCTGAGTGGCCAGCCTGCCCTGGGGCCCATCGCCCTGGACGACATTGAGTACCAGGCTGAGCAGCGTTGCCAGCAGCCTGCGCCCAGCCAGGGTGAGCACAGGGCTGCCACTGGGGTGCTCGGAAGGCCCAGGTCAGACAGCCTGCTCTGAGTCTGCCCGGCTCATTGCCCTGGCAGCTGCCAGCGCCCTGACCCAGCCCAGGACGCCAGGGGAGCCACCAAGACCAGGCCCTGGGCCTCCCCGCTCTGCCCCCTGGCCCCTGGGGCACCCCCTTCTGGGCCCACTGTGCCCATGCCCAAGGCAGGCATCAGTGGCTGTTGCTGTGAGGAAGGGGGCGTCTTGCTTGGGGCCAGGACCCCAGTCTGCAGACAGCCTCATCCTGCAGCCTGGCGCTGGCACGGCCGAGGCGCTTCCTTCTAAAGGGCTAAACCCCAGGAACCCACAGGCACCCAGGGGACCAGATAGCCCCAGCTGAGGATGTGGGGGCCACTGCGGAGGGCTCAAGCCCCAGGGTTCACGTGTCTCCACCACCCACAGGGCACATGGCCACACCCGTGTCCGTGCCAGCCGCGGTTGGCGGCGCCCTCCTTCTCCTCATGCTCCTGGTGCTGCTGGGACTCGGGGGCCGGCGCTGCCTCCGGGAGAGGGGAGGCTGCCCCTTCTGGAGTGGCAGGGAGGCTGCGACACCCAGCTTCGACAACGTCCTCTTCAATGCAGTAGGAGCCGTGGGTGGGGACGGGTGGCAGGAGCCCACAGGGAGGAGCCCGGCACCACTGCAGCCCAGCCCCCGCTGCCCATGGCATCACAGCATGAGTCCCCTCTCTTAGGATCACGTCACCCTCCCGGAGTCTGTCACCAGCGACCCACAGGCCACCACATGAGACCGTGGCTCCTTACCTGAGCACCCAACCCTCCACCAGACCCTGCAGGGACTGGACACCTACTCCCTGCTGGCCAGCTGGGGTCTCAGGACACGCTGAGCCTCTGCGCCCCCTGCCCTGTCCCTTGACTCTGCTGTCCCCGAGAGGGTAGCCTGAGCCTCCAGGGCGAGGTCAGTGCATCCATGCGTTGCCGGCCAGCAGGACCGTGGGCCTCCAAGGACGCCCAGACCTGACACAGACCTAGAGAACTTGCCTGGGGCACCTCCTTGATCAAGGCAGCTCAGGAAGCAGACAAGGGACACTCTCCCACAGGACAAGGCGCAGATGGCAACCGAGAAGCCACTGCCCCACCCTGCTGGGGCTCTGCACTGAGAACGGGGACAAAACCAACCACGGTGCAGGGACACGTGGGAGGCAAAACCTGAGTGTGGCAACATGGAGCTGGCCTGGTGGGAGGAGGAATGTCCTGCTGCGTCCCCAATAAAGGACCCCGTGTCCACTGTCCCCGTCCCTGGTAAGGGACCCCACGTCCATTGTCTACCCTCATGGCGCTGCCCCCACTGCCCGCTATCCACCTGAAGGTCTCAGCAATCCTGGCTGCAGGTCACCGTGCTGAGGTGCCCTTGTCCCCGAGGCCCCCGAGCAGGTCATAGCCACGCAGGCTGACCCTGGCCTCGCTTGGCTGCCAGACCTGGGAGAGAAGGTGACTCTCCGAAGATGCGTGAACTAGCCTGGGACCCTGACAGAGGGTACAGTGGGCCAGTATCTCTGCCCCAAGGCTCAAGCCTGACGCCTGCTCCTCCCCGCGGGCAACTCCCACACGCCCTGCTGCAAGGACTCAGTGTTGAGGCCTGGGAGGCCTTACTTTGGGTGGCTGTCCTCAGGGACGGTGGTGACCATCTGCACAGCCAGGTGCTCCCTTCCTTCCCCCAGGAAGGCTCTGCCCAGCCTCTCAGACACCCATCTGTCCCAAGGAGCCATTGCTGTCCTGGTGGGCACAGCACCCTCACCAGGCACTGGGCTCCTGCCCATCCCGGGGACTCAGCCCAGCTGGACAACACCCCTTGCGTCTGGGAAGCGTGAGGCTGACTGACGTCCCGGCAGATGGGTGCAAAGGTGAAGACGCTGCAGGGAAAGAACAACCCACACAGCCCCTGGGGGACCCTACAGGGCCCGCCATGAGACGCACCCTCTTTTCCCACAGCTGTGGTCCAGCGTGCCAGGCGCAGACCACAGGCCTAGGTGCTGGGACAGATGAAGCACGAGAGGGTAGGATTTGCCACTGGCAGGCAGGGCACAAACTTTACCAGCTTCTCTTTAAAAGCCGCATTAGAGGCCGGGCGCAGTGGCTCACAGCTGTGATCCTAGCACTCTGGGAGGCCGAGGCAGGAGGATCGCTCAAGGTCAGGAGTTCAAAACCAGCCTGAGCAAGAGTGAGACCCCGTCTCTACTAAAAATAGAAAGAAATTAGCTGGACAACTAAAAACATATAGAAAAAATTAGCCAGGCGTGGTGGTGCGTGCCTGTAGTCCCAGTTACTAGGGAGGCTGAGGCAGCAGGATCGCTTGAGCCCAGGAGTTTGAGGTTGCTGTGAGCTAGGCTGACGTCACAGCACTCTAGCCCGGGCAACAGAGCCAGACTGTCTCAAAAAAAAAAAAAAAAAATACCCACTTTAGAGAAGCAGCATCCGGTGACGTTCTCAGTCCCATCCTGCCTGAGAGGTGGTCCCCAGCACCCACCCTCGCCCCCAGGCTTCTGACAATGGCTCCCGGGCAGACGTCCCTGGGAGAGGAAGGCCACACTCTGTGCCTCCATCCGAGGGACGGGGAGGGAAGGAGAAAAAAAAGTCAGGAAAAGCAAGTAGTTTGCAAGATTTTCTTAGTTTGACAGCAGGTGTGGGTTGGGGAGGGGCCCGCAAGCCTAACCCCGCGCTCCGCTCAGCCAAGCGAGGAGGCGCACGTCGGTGCTGGCAGTTGAGGGCACCAGCCAGACGAGATCAGCTGGCACACGCTGATTTCGAGGCTTTGTGCTCACTTCGCCCTGGGCCCCTTCTCGATGGGCTTTCCAATGTCCTTCCCCCGGAGCTTGAGGCCTGAAACGAGCCGTTGGCCCACTGACCACCACTGCTCCCCTCTGCAACGTCGAGGGACAGGGCAGCGCCAGGGTGTCCCCGCCCAGCTGCCGTGAGGGGCAGCAGGAGCCCATCTACCCTGAGCACCAGCTCCCTCTGGGTGTCAAGCTGCCTCCACATCTGCTAGGGAGGGAGGTAGGGGAGGGCACCACTGTAACCCTCTCACCAGGCTTTTAGCACCCAACAAGCCCAGTTTCACATCTAATGCTGAAAAGAGGGTGAGTCTGAGAATCCTAGGTGGCATGGAATCAACACCTCTTCCCAAGAGGACTAGGGCAGAAGTCCCCTGTGGGCACCGCCTCCCACCCACGCTGACGCCAAGGGGCGTGAGGGAGCAGGATGTGGTGTGTGGGCAGAGCAGCCAAGGGAGGGCCACTGAGGTGCTGTGTCCAGGCTGGGCTGGCCAGCAGCGAGGGGCGGAGGGAATCTGCACCCGGGAGAGACTGAGATACCACTCCAGAGGCCCTGCCATCATCCTGACAGCCAGCACTGCCGGGAGCAGCACAGCTCTCGGAGACATCCCAGCAGCTTCAGAGAACTGGGCGTCCCCGAGGGCACGCCAGCCCTCCCAAGCCCTGTTCTCACCAGCTCCACCCAGAAGAGGGGCGGCCACCCTGCCAAGACGGACACTCACCAATGGCCCTCTCGATTTTGCCCAGAACCTGGTTATTGGGAATGGCCCGTCCACTCTCATAGTCTGCGATCACTTGCGGCTTTTCGTTGATTTTCTAAAGAGAAGATGTGCTTTATACACATCAGTTCAGTAAGGACACGTTGGAAAACTGAAGTGAGAAACCCAGGGGCAACACCTTCCAGGAGAGTGTGGCCTCAGCCACCGCCCCACCAGCTCAGGCAGAGAGCAGCTCTCAGAGGCTGTGGGGCCTACACCCTCGTGTGAGGAAGTCACAGCTGGTCTGACAAGGCCTGGGGGTCCCTGGGGGCGAGGGCATACTGAAGACCCCGAAGTCACAGGTGGTAGAGCCCACCCTCCAGGGGCTGGCTACACGCCAGCCACTGCCTGCCTGTACCACAGTCCCAGGAGAAGGGAGAGCTGTCCCGCCTCACCGTGGCCAGGTCCTTCTGCGTGAGCCCCTTGCTCTGCCGGCCCTGCTGGATGACTTTGCCCACTTCCAGGGTCACCCTGTCATGGTGCAGCTCCTCCGTCTCCCGGTCCAGCTTGGCTGTGTTCTTGGTGATCGAGTGCTGTTTGTTCTGGCCCGCAGCCCCTGCAGCAAAGTGAGAGCAGAGGAATGGGTTCAGAATTGATCCAACGTAGACCAATTTCAGAATGGCAACCAGATCCGGAGGATGGGCTCCACCACCTGGGGACTTTGGGGCCTTCAGTTTGCCCTTGCCCCCAGGGACCCCAATTCTGCCCAAAACTCAGCCCTAAAAGCCTGGAATTCCAGATTTTTCTCTGTTATGGGACGTGGGCAGAAGGCAACAGTCCCTGCTGCCCTCACACCAACCACAGCTGCTCTGAGAAAACCCCAGACACTTCCTGGCATCAGCAGTACACAGTTCCTGAGTCCTGACACGAGTCCCGGTGGAAACATGGGTACCTACATTTCTTGGAAGTCTCCACATCTTCTCCTCGTCTCTGAGCTGCTAAGATGGCCTAGAAAATTAGAAAACGTTTTTTTGATCAAAAGTAGCTTTGGCAGTGTCTAGCATACACAAATTTAGGTTGCTGCTCACCAATTCACATGTTGCTAATGACTAGTGGTTTTGAAGGACTGATGTACAATGCTGAGTTTAAACCCAAGATCATTATACAAAACCCTCTAAATCAAATATCCTGGAGACTCACAATAAACTGCTGCTAAAAAAACAAAAACAGATCACTTCATTTGCTGTTGAGAAAGACAAGCTAATGGATTCTTCTCTTTCCCCTGGCTGGTCTTTAACTCCTGGCCTCAAGCTGTCCTTCCAAGTAGCCTGGATTACTGGCAGGCACTAACGGATCCTTTCTAGAAATCATACTTGAAACACATTAACTTCTCTGTTAGACTCGCCTGCAGAAGCAGGAAGGAACGCCAAGTGTTGGCCTAGTATGGCCTTCCTCCCTGAATCTGGCTCCTAACAAACAGAGATGACACATCTCATGGAAACCTGCATTCCCCCTGGAAACACTGCCAATAACAATGACGCTATAGTCACTGAATATTAATATAACAAATTTGTTGATGCTTCTAACAGTTCAGAGGAGTGGCTCACAGGACATTCTAAGTGTGATATGTTCAAAGATGCTTTCTACAAAATTGTTCACGTGACTCCTGACTTGTGGCTATTAAGTTTCCTTTAAAAGAAAAGGACATCTGCTAAAGGCTTACTGCTTGCTGGTAAAAGAAAAAAAAGAAAAATAAATTAAATAAATCTAAAAAAATAAAAAAGTAAAAAAAAAGAAAAGGACAAGTGGATTTGGTTTTGAGCATGCAACTGGTAAGCCCACAGCAGGTCAATACATGCCTGACACCAGGATGCCCAGGACCCCAGCTTGTCCTGGTCTGACTGGCACTGAGTGCCATCCTGAGGGTACAAACCAGAAACAGGCAGTGACCAAATGGCACTCCCCACATTACATGTGAGTCACAACTGACCTGAGAGTGGGTCACCCATACTAGCAACTTCCTCCACGTGAACAGTGCTCAGAGCATGCCCTTTACCCTTGCAACTGGGGGAGCAGGATCCATCCGCACACGGAGTTTCTAGGCCACCCCAGACCAGGGACCAGGCGCTCCCTGTCCCCAACCTTCCTCTGGTTACCCAGCTCTGTGCCTTCCCTATCTCCCACTTTGCCTCTTAACTGCTGTCCACCCACTGGCCCCTGCAGCCCAGTCCCCACCCCGGCCCTGTCCCCTGCCATTGGGCCCCACCTCCTGCCCCATTCTGCCACCTGACTCCAGCAACAGTCCCCGCCCCGTCCCAGTCCCTTCCCTGAGCTCATCCTCCCTGGTCCCAGCCCGGTCCCAGGTCCAGCCTCGCCCTGTCCTCTACCCCATCTCCCGTCCCGTCCTCTGGCCCTCGCCCTCACACTGGTTCCCAAGCCCTAAGCCCGCCCCAGTCCCCTGACCCTTGTCGCTGTCCATCACCCTGTCCCCCGACCCCGCCAGTTCCCTGCCCCTCCTCCTCCCAGACCCCCGGCCCCGGGCCCATTTCGGCCCCCCGCACCCTAACCTCAGTCACCCCGCCCTGCCTCTGTCCCCTGACGGGGCCCAACCCCCGCCCCGGGCCGCAGCCCCCTATCTCCCGTCCCAGCCCTTCGACCGCAGTCCTCCCGTCAGCCCCCAGCCCTGCCCCGGCCCCGGCCCAGTGACCGCCCAGCCCGGCCCGGCCGCTCCGCGGCGAGGCACCTGCTTGGACTTGGCCTGGGCGGCTGTGGGGCCCTTCTTGCGCAGCACTGTCACGGTGTCCCAGTCGCTCTCGGCCATGGCGCGGCGGGCGGGGGCGGCGGTCCGTCCGGCGGCTCCGCAGCAGCTGCTCGAGACCCGGCGCAGTGACGCGACGTCCCTTCGTCGCCTCCTCGCTTCCGGCGCCTGCGCCGCGGCCCCGCCTCCGGCTCCCATTGGCTAGGGATCTGGGGGGCGGGCACTTCCCGCGGTCCCAGACCAATCCGCGCCCGGCTCGTCTGAGCAAACGCCAGGGCCGCGCGCGGGCGCCGTGAGGAGAGCGACGTCGGGGCCCGGGCAGCCGGGAGAGTCACCGCCGCTGGGGGGCGCATGGCGGGGGCAAAGCTGGCGGGGAGGGCCGCCCTGGGGGGGCGCGGACTGGGGGTCCGCGAGGACGGCGGGGTGCGGGGGAAGGTGGGGGGAAGGAGGACTGGGGGTTCGCGAGGAAAGCAGGGTGCGAGGGCAAGGTGGGGTAGGGCCGACTGAGGGGTCCGCGGGGTGCGGGGAAAGGTGAGGCAGGGCCGACTGAGGGGTCCGCGGGGTGCGGGGAAAGGTGAGGCAGGGCCGACTGAGGGGTCTGCCGGGAAAGGTGGGGCAGGGCCGACTGAGGGGTCCGCGGGGAAAGGTGGGGCAAGGCCGACTGAGGGGTCCGCGGGGTGCGGGGAAAGGTGGGGCAGGGCCGACTGAGGGGTCCGCGGGGTGCGGGGAAAGGTGGGGCAGGGCCGACTGAGGGGTCTGCGGGGAAAGCGGGGTGCGGGGAAAGGTGGGGCAGGGCCGACTGAGGGGTCCGCGGGGTGCGGGGAAATGTGGGGCAAGGCCGACTGAGGGGTCCGCGGGGTGCGGGGAAATGTGAGGCAAGGCCGACTGAGGGGTCAGCGGGGAAAGGTGGGGCAGGGCCGACTGAGGGGTCCGCGGGGAAAGCGGGGTGCGGGGAAAGGTGGGGCAGGGCCGACTGAGGGGTCCGCGGGGACGGCGAGGTGCGGGGGAGGTGGGGGGAGGGCGGACTGGGGGACTTCGGGGTGCAGGGATAGGGAGCCCATCCCAGGCCGGACGGGGTGGGGGGCGGACTGCGGGTCCGCGGGAGGAGAGTGGGCACGGGGAGCCTGGGCCCAGAGTCCTTGGCCCGCGGGCCTGTGCTGCCACGCTGTGGTCTTTTGGGGGGGGCCGCAGCCGCACACGACTTGCGACTCGCGACTGGCCCACGCCTGCCTTTCCCGGTCCGCAGCCCGGCCACGTGAGCGAAGCGGTCCGGAGCAGCTGCTGGAGGCCGCCAGTTCGGTTTCCCTGCGCTTCGACTTAGCTTCTCTTTCCTCCCCTTTTGCCGCCCTGCGCACAATTTGAAGTTGTGTTTGTCAGGAGCTGTGTTCATATGATGCAAACGTGTTGGGGCCAGAGGCAGGTGCAGGTTTTGTGGGTCCTGAAACATAGACAACTGGGGGGGGGGCTCTCTTTCATAATTCTGTAATAGTGTAGTTTATAGTTATTTTACAATAATTTTTTATAATGAGAAAAATAATCAAGTTATAATTCTTTATTTAAAAAAATTGTTTTAGTTTTTTTTTGTTTTTTTTTTTTCTTTTGAGACAGGGTCTCACTATGTTACTCAGGCCGGACTCCTTCCTGGGCTCAATGGAGCCTCCCCCCTCAGCTCCGGAGTAGCTGTGACTATAGGCGTGTGCCTGGCTTAGTTACAGAATTCTTAAAAACATAGTCTGTGGCAGACTTAGCAAGAAACACAGAATAAAAAGAGAAAAAAAATGAAACATCAATGCCACAAGCATCACAATAGTCAGAAAAATAACAATTATATGAATTAACTGATACAGCTTTTTAATGCTTTTGCTTACCATTTCTGGCTGCATTCTCTTTGATCGCTGCATCACAATTTTACAGAATTATAGAAAAAAGAGAATGATGATTCAGACATTTTTCTAATGTGTGTGATCAAATCTGTATCTAATAGTATTGACATTGGTTTGGGTAAAACAAGGTTTCCAGGCTTCAAATGGATGAGTTCGCTGTAGCACTATTGAGTCTGAGCACTGTGTAGGTGAGTATTTGCAGCCCTGGAAGACGTTCCTGCCCCCTGACACCCAGCAGACACATGATTGGACTGTATGAAGGTATCCCATAAACCCTGACTAAGTGCACCTCAACTTAAGTTCCCCTTAGTCATGTGCTAAAAATGCCTGGAGCCACTCCAGTGGCATTGGACCTCAGGGAGAATGTGAGGAAGGTGGATCTGTCTGGAAAGAGGCAGCGGTCAGAGCAGATTGCAGTTGAAGCGTCCTGCTTGGCCAGCGTAACCAGCACCAACCTCAGGAACCCATTGGGAGGCCCCTTCCACAGCTGTGGCGGGAACAACCTGCATATGAAGCTGAGCCAGCTTCATAGTGTACGTGTTCTAGTTGGCATCTGCTGGGAGAAGGGACATCTAGACCTAACTGTCCTCTGTAGGTGTCCACCACCAGGACAGCCATCATCCTGTCTGGCCCTCAGGAGTCCATGCCTGATGACACAAAGATGCCCACTGCCGTGTCCTTTGCACTCCCTACCACCAAGGTGCGGGTGAATACGAGTGTCTCTGTGAGGCGCCTTCACCAGCCACTCATTCCCTCTCTGTGTCCCCTGTGCACTCTCCTTCCTGGCTCTGGGATTCTTCCCATTTATTCAGGGCCTGGAGGAGAGCAGCCTTGGAGGTGAAGCCACAGCAGCTGGTGTGGACAACCGGCTATGGAAGGTACAGCAGGCAGTTTGTATCACTAGAGATGCCACACCACTGTTGTACTCCTCTGCCTGCATTGTTTGAGATAAGACATCTTCCAGAGTTACTCATTTACCTTCGTGCATGGAGAAAAGAAAATTCCAAAGCCTTCTGGAAAACAAAAAAAATGTCTATTAGGCCGGGTGTGGTGGCTCACGCCTGTAATCCTAGCTCTCTGGGAGGCCGAGGCAGGCGGATTGCTCGAGGTCAGGAGTTCGAAACCAGCCTGAGCAAGAGCGAGATCCCGTCTCTACTATAAATAGAAAGAAATTAATTTGCCAACTGATATATATAGAAAAAATTAGCTGGGCATGGTGGCACATGCCTGTAGTCCCAGCTACTTGGGAGGCTGAGGCAGGAGGATTGCTTGAGCCCAGGAGTTTGAGGTTGCTGTGAGCTAGGCTGACGCCAGGGCACTCACTCTAGCCTGGACAACAAAGTGAGACTCTGTCTCAAAAAAAAAAAAAAAAAATGTCTATTCACGTGCATCTGTAAATAAGAGTTTCTCTGGCGTCATTTTGTTTCAGCCTTGAATAGTTTTCCTTAGTGTTTGGTAGTACTGTCTGCTGTAAATAAATGGTTTCACCTTCCATTTAACTGCAAATGTCTCTATTTTACCCTGCTCTTGAAGGATACAGTATACATGTCATCCAGTTGCCTTCTGACTTCCATCATTCCCAATGAGAAGTCAGCGAGTATCTCCCTGTTCCCCTGCAGGTAGTGTGACATGTCCCCTGGCTACTTGCGAGATTTCCCACGTGATCTTCTGTGTTCCTGCCATGTGCCCAAGTGTACTTTCCTATGTGTCTGCCCTGCTTGGGTTCACTGATCTTAGATCCTATACATTGGCAAAGTTTCACTGGTATTTAAATATTTTTATTTTTCTCTCCCACTGTTTTTTTTCCTTCTGGGACTCCAATTAATGTATGTAATTCCACTTGATATATCCCGCAGTTCTTTTTCTCGATCTTTATTCTCTTCAAACTTCAGGCTGTATACTTTCTGTGGCTCTTTCTTCAAGATTACTGATCTTTTTATCCACCATCTCCAATATGTTAAGCCCAAACAGAGACGTTTTCATTTCAGATACTGTACTTTTTATACTTTTCAGTAACATGATTTCCATTTGATTCTTTTCAATGGTTTCCACTTCTCTGCTGAGATTTCCCATTTGTAAGTTAAACTATGTTTTAAGTCTTTGGACATTTTTATAACCAATGCATGAAAGTCTTCGTCTTCTAAATCCAACATGTGGGTCAGCACGGCATCTTTTCTATTGATTGCTGTGCTCCTTGGTTACAGGACACGTTTTCCTGCTTCTCTGCATGTCCAGTAAATTTGTGCGGGACACCGTGGAAGTCACGTTGCATGGAGTCTGGATTACAGTGTCTGTCTTTGTAGAGTTTTGCATTTATTCTGGCAGGCAGCTCATACACTGATGGCTCTCCTTGATCCTGCCGAGACTCGGTTTAAGCCTTGTTTGGGCAGCTCCAGAGTAGGTCTTAATCTAGGTCTTGGCCCTTGTTCTCCACTTTTCTGGAGATTCAGCTGAATACTGGGGTGTTAACAAGGACTCTGATATGGGTAGGGGAGACTTCCGGCCTCTCAGTGCTGTCAGCCTCTGGCGTCTTCAACCCCTCAGTTCTGCAGCAGCTGCTCCACGCCAGACTGCTGGGGATCCTGCCCTCCCTTGTGCAGTCACTCACTCAGCTGAGGACCCATGAGACTTCTGGACCCTACTGTGCAGCTCCCTCCTCTCTGCTGTTCCATTCTGCCAATTCCAGCTAGTCATGCTGCCCTGAACTCTGACTTCCATCTCTGCGCTCCAGCCGGACTGCCACGTTTGCCTGGTTTAGAAATTGTTCCCAAGCAGAAAGCCAGAGAGAACGTGGGTCGACCTCGTGTGTTGCCCTTCTCTCGGATTCTCAGTCTTATGCTGCCTGTTGTCCCCTGGCTGAAAACAGTCACTTCCTGTATTTTGGCAAATTTTATAGTTGTTTATGGTGAGTGGCAACACCAGTGACAGTTACTTTATGAGTAAAAGTGGATTTTCCAGAATTTCGTCTTCTCAAATGTTTCTTGGTCTGTAACTTCATCTAAAATGCTTCTTAACAGAGGACTGTTTAGAATTCTGACTCTGACCGCCCCTCCACCATTCTGAGCCCATCTTTCTGGGACTGACCACTGAGAAGGCTGCAGTTGCAAGGACTCAAGCAGGATGCCATTTGACAGAGTGATGCAGAAAGTGTTTGGCAAGGCCGAGGCGGGTGGATAGCTCAAGGTCAGGAGTTCGAAACCAACCTGAGCAAGATCGAGACCCTGTCTCTACTATAAATAGAAATTAATTGGCCAACTAATATATATAGA